TTCTCTCTCATGGATGTTTCTAACTCTCTATCCCTCTCCCTTCCTCTCTGTAAAAAATCAATAAAATATATATTTTTTAAAAAGGTCATTTGGAATGCCCCCGACAAAGGCAGTAACGGGAACACCTGCGAGATAGGAGAGTAGGAAAGCAAGGGGCATGCGATGACCTCTGCCTGGGGCTGCCTGGGGTGGTTTCCTGAATCAGGTGAATCGGAGTTGGGTTTTGACGTGTCAGTAGGAAGTCTCTAGACAGAGAACGGCAGGAATGAAGCTAGCATGGCTGGGATGATTGATTCAAACGCTGTCAGAATGCATATTCTCTGCTTCTGATCCCCGCTCCTCCCCACTGTAACGGTGGCAAGGACGCAGAGGGAATCTGAGGAGGTATTAATATTGATACATGGACACATGACTTTTTAACAGCGACCCTGCCCTCTGGCAAGTGTGGCCCAACCAGATGGCTTTAAACCATATGAGCCATTGCACTCCCTTCTCCTGAGCAAGAGCAAGCATGGAGAAGGGCAGAGGGAGTAGGCGAGGGGGGGTTGATGGGGTGGGGGGAACGTGAGGGGCATGTACTAACAAGGGGAGAACCGAAGGGCCTGCGGTTGTGGCCTCTCTCTCTGCTCACCACCCCTGCTCTCCGACCTGGTACTGACCTCATGCGGACCCATAGGGAAGTCCATAAGGGGTCAGAGTTCAAGCTGACCACTGAGCTGTGCTACAGACTCCTTTACAGACATCGCGCCCCGGCAGTGGGAGGCCGAGGATCACAGCTGGGGGAAGGCAGCATCCTAAAATGATCCACGGAGCTGCACGTTGTGTAGTCCTGCAGCTGGGAGAGGCTGGCGAGTATAACAAACACTGCAGCGACCAGGCTGCACAATATGGCTGAGGAGGTTCTGCAGGATACTTAGAGATTCTTTTTTTTTTTTTTTTTAAATATATTTTATTGATTTTGTACAGAGAGGAAGGGAGAGAGATAGAGAGTTAGAAACATCGATGAGAAAGAATCATCAATCAGCTGCCTCTTGCACAACCCCTAATGGGGATGTGCCCACAACCAAGGTACATGCCCTTAACCAGAATCGAACCCAGGACCCTTCAGTCCCCAAGCCGACGCTCTATCCATTGAGCCAAACTGGTCCTGGCAGAGATTCTCATTAGTATAACTTGGAGTCATTCAAAAGGGAGCTAATCCTGGGTGGCTCTCACTAGTGGGATGAGTCCTTTAAGAGAGACTCTGGCCGAGACCGGTTTGGCTCAATGGGTAGAGTGTCGGCTTGGGGACTGAAGGGTCCCGGGTTCGATTCTGGTCAAGGGCATGTACCTTGGTTGCGGGCATGTCCCCGGTGGGGGGTGTGCAAGAGGCAGCTGATCGATGACTCTCTCCCATCGATGTTTCTAACTCTCTATCTCTCTCCCTTCCTCTCTGTACAAAACCAATAAAAATATATTTAAAAAAAAAAAAAAAAAAGAGAGAGACTCTGGGGGCCCCTGGGAACTCACCGTATGCACGGGTGCAGGCAAGGACACAGGAGTGTAACTGGTAAAGGCCTCTTTGCCTCTCCCCCTGCCCCCCATTGCACGAGGGCAGTGACTCAGCAGCAGCATGATGGAAACTGCAATCATACCCTTATGTACCTGCTTATGCTAATGCAGCATGAGCGTCTCACCCTGGCACCTTTGTTTGAGCAGGTCCATAAGGTGCCACTGACCAGCCAGTGTGGGGCTGCTTTGTTCGTAATAAAGCGTGCTGCCACTCGTGTGGTCTTCCCATTTCCTGCCCCCAGGGGGGTCCAGTCCCTGGCTGAGCAACCTGCCCCAACAGAGACTTTCCAGGGAGAGATGCACCTGCCAGCCTTGGAGAAGCGTGTCACGAGGCTTCTGCAGTTGCAAGCAGCTGGATTCTGCCAACCAGTGAGCTTGGAAGAGGACACTAGCCCCTGATGGGGCCACTGCCCACACCACCATTGGCCTGCAGCCTGTGAGATCCTGCGCAGAAGCCTGAAAGGTCAGGCCCGGAACCCTGACCCGGGGAAACGGCCAGAGGAAGAATGTGTGTGCTGCTTTGAGCTGGCGGTCTCTAAGGCAGCCAGAGGTAACTGATGGCAAAGGAAAGGAAAGACACAGCAAGAGACGGTGTCTGCATAGTGTGGAGCCAGCAGGAATAGCTGGAAGTGCAAAGAAGGCATAGAGAGGAGTTTAAACATGCCACAAAGAGTTGCTCTGGGCACTCCTCTTGCATTGTTTCATTGAAACTTCCCCACGCTTCTGGACGCAGTTCTAAGCCCACTCTCCCTGAAGGTGCTGAATGTCTATAGGACTTGAATAACCCACCCAGGTCACAGGGCAGCTCAGATCCAAACGGCGCTCTTCCTGATGGTGGGAGCTCCCGTGCCTCCACTGCATCGCACCCCGGCTCACTTTAGGCCTCAGAGAGGAGGGCAGAGGAGGGCAGCGAGGCAGGGAGGAGCAGCTGAGGTGACCGCCCAGGTGACCAACGTGCAGGCCAGAGCCTGGCGCACACCACTGTATCTACCCTGCTCCTATAGCACCGCAGGCAAGCTGCCCCTGGGAGTGTCTTTGTCAAGTTCCATGAATGTTTTTCCCACAAAAACATACTTTCAGAGAGAGAGAGAGAGAGAGAGAGAGAGAGAGAGAGAGAGAGAGAGAGAGAGAGAGAAAGAGAGAGGGGGGCGGGGAGAGAGAGAGAGAAGGCTATGGTTACGGGCATTCCCAAACACATTCAGGAAAGAAACTATGCCCTCCCCTCTGCCCACCGACACCCAACACCCCTACACACACACACACACACACACACACACACACGCACACACACACACACACACACACACACAAGCCTGCAGAGGAAAAACAATTCAGTCCTGTCCGACTCATCCAGGTCATGCAGACCCTTAACGTGCAATGCTGGCTTCAGCTGTTTTTATCACAACTTTCACTAAAAAACAAAACAAAACAAAAAAAACACGTCTCTGCCAAGTTGCCTTCTTCTCGGCCCCACGATCCTCAGGATAAAAATCTGCTTGTTTTTCTTTTGTTTTTAAAGTTGCTCAAAATAGTTTTTTTTTTCTCTTCTCAGATAATTTAGCAATGTTCCTTATCCCAGCATCTCTCCCTCCCAGAGTACCCGTCCCCCACCCCGCCAAGGGCATCTCGGAGCTGGCAGGGTTCCTTCAGGCTCCTGTGCCTCCCTTCCCTTCACCAAACCTCCCTCCATTTAACCTGTTTTCACTGGAGACTGGGAGCCTGGGGCTCCACTGAGAACAGAATGCTGATGGCAAGAGGGGCCATGCTGTGTGCAAGCGGAACAAAACCCCCACATCCCATGTTCACACCCTAACCCCGGGGATCGGTGAGGATGCTCAGATGCATGGCAAAGGGGAGAAAGGTAACAAATGGACGGGATCAAGGTTGACAATCAGCTGACCTTGCACTAGGGTCACACGCAGGGGCCTTCAGTATGCAGTGGGAGGAAGGAGAGAGGTTGGAGCCGGAGTGCAGGGTAAGAACTTGACCCCCCGCCGGGCTTTGCAGGTGGAGGAAGGGGCCCTGGCTGGTGTGGCTCAGCTGGCTGAGCACCGTCCAGAAGACACAGACGGACACCAGAAGCTGGAAGGCGAGACCATGACTTCCTCCTCCCGAGGGAACCAGCCCTGCGGACACCTGGGTTTCTGCCCGCTGAGACCCAGATCTGACTTCTGACCCCCAAACTGCACAATAACAGACCAGTGCTGTTTGGAGCCACTGGGCCTGTGAGGGCAGTACTGAGAGCAGTACACTCTGCATGGGGACGTTGCCTCTGCACAGGCTGCAGGGCCAGGCGAGGGGAAGGGACCTGGGTGGGCTTGTCTGCCTCCCTGGCTTCCCGACTCCTCAGGGCCAGTGTCTCTCCCAAAGGTCTTGTTTATACAAAAGGCGGGCCAGAGCCAGAGTGCACCCGAGAGAGAGCCAGGGAACCCGGGCAGAGGCCCAAACTTGGGGCAGTAAACATTGTACCAGGAGTTGGCGTGGCCTCAGGGCCTCATCTGTCACCAGCTGACCTGTTGGGGTTCCGGGGTCTCCTGAGACACAGGCAGGTGCGAGGGTGACAGATGATGGAGAAGGCCCCGCATGCACTAAGGTTGCAAATAAATTCAACCCAACTTTATGTGTGTAGATAGTCTGGGGGGTGGGGGTGTTTTTAGTGTGTTTTGTTTGTTTTTGACTTTTTTTTTTTTTTTTTTTTTTTTGAGCAGGGTCTTTGCTTCATTTGTTGATGAGCCTGTTACACCTGGAGGTCTTGGTGTGGAAGGGATTGTGACCGGTGGAGGGATTCCCTCCTAGGAGAGCCCTTGAGCTTGCCCATGCTCCCAGCCCCAGCTCTGAGGTCCCCTGCTCCAGGTACCTTCCTTCCTGGGACCTCACCCTCCGGAGAGCTCAGAAGGGCGTTGCACCCGTGCGCCTCCCCGATGGACAGCACCGTGTCCCGCGGAGTGAGCAGCCCATGGAGTCGGGTTTGTCCAGAAAGCGCAGATCCCCGAAAAACGAGAGGCTTTTCCTCTTCTCAATGGACGTGCGTCCAAGTCTGACCCTCGAGCTGCGAGATGTGTCAAGTCTGTGCCTGTAACCCTCCAAGGGGCGGGAAGGTGGGGGCTTCAATCTGGTGAGAGCCCTATGTGTCTGCTAGGGGCTCGGCTTATCTGGGAAGCGCCGGGCGCAGCCAGTCCCACAGGCGCGCGTCCCTCCCTGGTGGCTGCCGCCGCAGCCCCAGAGCCTGGCGGCGGCGGGAAAGCCCGAGGTTCCCCCCACCCCGCCCCAGGCCCCCAGGCCCCCAGGCCCTCAGGCCCTCTCCGTGGCCGTGGGTGAGCCCGGGCGCCCCGCTGCCCTCCTTTTTGTGCCCCTTAACTCTGCGCCCCGCTGGGAGGGCTCGGCCGCGCCTCCCTCCGTGCGCCCAGCCCGCTGCAAAGAGTTAAGAGCGGCCCGGGACGCCTCCAGCGGCTCCTGGTCCCCGGTCCCCGTTCGCCGCTCCTGATTGGCCGAGCTCCTGTCAGTAGTAAAAAAGTATCAGATAGCAAACTTGGGACCTTCATAAAGGCGTGGCGTGGTACTCCTCGATGATGATTGCCGGCGGCCTATGACATCAGCCAGGAACGCCTGGGATGCCGCTGCTCCCGGCCCGACGCCGCCGCGGGAGGAGGAGGGTCCCGCCGCCGCCGCCGCCTAGGAGTTAGCCGCCCGCGCAGCGAGGGGGAGCCCCGCCAGGGTTCCGGGGACACTGGTTTCGGTCCCTGGCGGCCTCTGTCCTCCTACCCAGGGGAGCTCCCCGAGGAGAGCTGGATGAATTCTGGGTTGTCAGCTGCGCGCAGCGGGGCTCCCGGGAGCCGGTTCCTGGTGGCACACAGGGGGCGCCTGGCTCGCTGAGACTCAACATGACCCTCCTGGGGGCTGAGCACTCTTTGCTGATTAGGAGCAAGTTCAGATCAGGTAGGGCTGAGGCATCCGACGTGCCTTCCTCAACTTTCCTCTCCTGTGCCTCTCAGCGCTCCACGGCTTTCCAATAAATGTGTCAGAGCCCGCGCGCGCCTCTGGCTGCTGCAACCTTGTCCCCAGAAAGCACATTGGGAAGTGACAATGTGATTCGACCTTGGGGGCCTTTAGTGTCTTCCGTTTGAAGTGCTTGGAGTTGCTGAGTGTGGTTTTTTGTTTGTGAAAAGGACAGTCTTTTCCTTGTATTTATTTATTTTTTTTCTCTGTATCTGTGAATAGAAAATTTGGAAGTCTATTCAAAAAGAAACAAGTTTGAAAAGGAACAAATGAGGGGATCTCGAGTTTGTGGCCGCATAACATTAGTGATAATCGCTGAGAAGATGAGCCTGAGGCCCTGTGTTCGATGACTGGGGTCACTTAAAACGTAGCTAATCCAAACAAATGTATTTCCCAAAAAAGTCACTTGGGGGAAGTAAAAATAGCCAATTTGGAGCACAACAAGTATTTAAAATGACATCACTGTGGAGGGGGGGGGAAAGCCCAGTGCCACAAATATTTTTTCCCAAACCATCCGATATTTATAAATGGAGAGGGTTTTTTTCTCCCCCAAATATCTGTGTTAGTAGCGCAAAGAGGAACTTCTCCCTGGACGCAGAGTCAAGGTGAGTGGGGACGGTGGGAACTCCACGCTGCTCACAAGGGCTGGTACGGGCACAGGGAAGGTCTGAGTGAGGAATTAGCCACAGACACCTGCCTTCTTAAATTCTTTCTCTATAAATCGTGTCGAATATTGGTTTTTTTTAAAAAGCAGTAACAAGCCACTCAACCAATGGCAGGACTTTTACTTAGAAGATGAACTGTTGTATGAGAGTGCCGATGTGGACATTCCGTAGAGCAGGTGTTGGGAGGATGCTGGCCTGGTTCGAGGTTTTCCTTAGCCTCTAAGGAGGGCCACTCAGTGTGTCACCTGGGATGGATGTGTCAGCAACGAGAAGCGTGGATGCTGGGACAGCAGGGTTAGGCTTCCTAGGAGATGTCTGGCTTTCAGACGTCTGTGCGGTTCGCTGGAGATTTTCTTAGTCTCTGCGCTGTTGAAACGAGATGAAAACTCAGGAGCTCCGCCAACCAAAATGCTCAGTGCCAGGCTTCAGGATATAAACTCATCTGCCAGCCATCCGGTTCAGCAGTAGTTACATCCTTCTTTTCCTTACTTCCCATGGCGAGGTGAGGTGGTTGATGTGTTAATCCGCTAGAGACACTGGCACTGCTTTATAATTTGGTCAAAACTGCAAGGCAACACTGCCACCTTTCTGAAGAAAAGAGGATGCAGATTTGTTTTTGCAAAAAGCTACATTCCTTTCCAATGCATGCTTGCGGGTTCCTGTGGGGGACAGGGGAGGGATCTGTCCCTCCAAGGGTTTGGTGAGGTTCTGGAGAGGATTGCAAAAGCAGGTTCCTCAGACTCACCCTTCCTTCCTAAAGTGCAGAGGAGGGGGAAGACGGTGTTTGCAGGGCTCCGAATGCCTGCCTCGGTGGAGGCCTGGTGTCTCCCAGGTACCTACCCCCTGGAGCTCCTGAGAACTCCAAGTGCAGCCTCAGTTTTTTCTTAAAGCTCGCACAGGCTTTTGTGTCCCGGGAAGGGTAGCTTTGGAAAACATGGTATCAAAGCAGACGCGGGCATGCTTAATCCTCCACCTGTGACACACAGGGACGCTGGGGTCTGTATACAGACGAAGTGGGTTCAATATCTGAGATGCAAGGGGTTGATAATCTACAAGACGGAGGAGAAAAACAGGCAGAACGTAAAACTAAGTAAATGTCACGTTGAGGACGGTAACCGTGGATTACGAGGATAGCTGCACTCCCAGAAGCCTGGCCTGCGGTGCGCTTACAAAGGGCCGGCCTCTGACTCAGAGAACTTGGTTTACTTTGCGACTAACAACGGATTAGGGAGGCCTCTTTGCTGTTTTGATTTCTCTCCTTCTCCCTCTCTCCCTCTTCTTTTTTTCTCCTTTTCGTTCATGAGCTGCTCAAGATGTAAACTCATAAAATTCTGACTGCTAATGTTTGCTTTGATAGTGGACCCTGCTGTTACGTATTTTGTTAAAAATAGCTTAAAAAATAAATAAAACTGGTTTGCTCTCTGATCGTGGAAGACTCTCGTATTCTGGGACTTGTGTTAAGTGAGCAGATAGCGGTTTTGACTCTGAAGTTGACACATATGACAACAGCATCCAGCCGGCTTCCTGAGGTGGTATTTGATATTCGAGTGATCTTGCTATTCAGCACAGAATCCTGCCACGGGGAGTAGGCAGCTGTGAGAGTCTCCACGTATGAACATGCCTAATGATACAAACTCATCTTATCTGAGAAGCGCATGGTTTCACGGTCGAGTGTGTGGGCCCAGAACAAACTTGCTGGGACTTGAGCGGGCGCCTTTACTGACCAGCAACCTGGCCTTGAACCTTAGGTAAACTACAGGACTCCCTCTGCCTCCGTTTGCCTCATTTGAATAATGAGAATGATTATAGGGTTGCTGTGATGATTAAATGTGAATCTATAGGTAAACCACTAAGGAAAATGCCTGGCGCTTAGTAAGCCTTCAAAAAATATTCTATTGTCGATGTTGTTTCGGCTGCCGGGTTCTATATGGGCCACTCTCTCTCTCTCTGAATCTTGGCTATTTAATCTGTAAATGTCAAGGTTGGACCAGATGATTTCTCAGATGCCCTGGTAACATTTCGTGGTTCTCTGAGAACACATAAAGATAGGGAACAGGCAAAATTGCAATTGGGCTGTGTGGCATTGGGCATACATATATGGTAAGCAGGCCTGCAATAAATAGTGTGAGTTTCAGACTAACAGCATTTTTACTGTTTGTAGTATCACTCTTGTTTTGTCAATTAAGATACTGTAATCAGTATCTCTGTCAACAATTTTCCCCAATGCCACAATCCTCGTGTCAACAAAAGACAAGGACTTACGTGTATGTGTGTACACACACACACACACACACACACACACACACACACATCATGCACAAAGATCAAAAGGAGAGGGAGAGGGCCAGTAATGGCTTTTGCTTCTGAAGAGCTTTTGTTTTGCGTTCGTTTCTTTCCCTTTTCCTCCTTCTCCCATTCAAACAGCTCACACAAAGGCAGACTCAGGCGCCACCCATGAGCGTGCCTCTGTCCCCCACAAACTTGGGGCTGTTAAATTTAGCAAATAAAAATACAGAGGCCACTGGGATATGGAGGGCATGCTTTTATCTGAAGTCCAAATTGAACAGGGCACTCTGTATGTTCTCTGGGAGCTCCACCTGCAATCTAAGCTGTGTTTCACCAGCACGCAATGCTGCCCCGTCCAGCATCTTATCAGGCTCTTGAGATTCCGGGGCCAATAGACCCTCCAAATTGTAAACGTGCATTTTCGGCTCGAGAGCAGAGACTGAAACTCTAAATGAGGAGCAGGTGCCATGAGCTTGTGCTCTGGGTCCTGGGGATGCAGCAGCACATGGATCAAGGAGGAATGTGAGAACTTCCCTTCGGCTTTCTGGGAGGAGGAGAAGGAAGAAGAGGAGGAGGAGGAATAGGAAGAGAAGGAGGAGGAGAAGGAGAAGCCAGCAGACAGGCTGCTCAGGTGCAGGGCTCTGGGACTTGGGGCCATAGCCAAAAGAAGCCAAGGAGCACGCAGAGCAGGCGCTGGGGAAGCAGAGCGGCCTCAGCTGGGGCTGTGCGGGGCAGCGCACTAGCTCCACACGCTTCACCGGCCTAAGCAGCCTGCAGAGCCCCCGGCTGCTGTTTGTGTTTCCAGAGACAGCCAGGGACATCTCAGGCCCCCACAGGTCATCCTCCCTGTTTTCTCTGTCCTCCTTCCTCCAGATCACCTGGAAGGCTGCTTAGTTCTACTTCAAGCTAGATCCTGAACATCTCTGAGACAGAATATTTTCTGTTAAACCGAGGACACTGCCCTAAGAGGCTAGCCCAGAGGTTGTGGACACTATTGAAGAAATTCCCACCATGATCTCAAAAGAAGTTCAGGCTCTGGCCCTGCCTGCGTCATTAATTCATCTTAGGACCTAGGACAGATATTTTAACCTAGTGCTGTATTATGGAAAAGACATTCTTCTAGGTTAACTTAATTGTCCTAGGCTCTGAACTACCTGTATAAAGATATAGGTATAGCTATGGGATGTATACTTTTTTCTTCACCTCATTTAATTGACCTCCTTAGGCCTCATTTTTGTCATCACAAAATAGAGGATCTGGGCTGTCCGTCCCTGAAGTTGCTTCCCCTAATGTTTGGCATTTATCCAAGTGAATGGCCCTAAGGATTTGCGTCAAGTTTTGAAGAGTGTAAGCTTTACAAACGTATTCCTGTGAGGTTTCTGCTCTTGTATTCTCGGGGAAATTGGCATAGATTTCTTAGATGGATGAATGAATAATTTACACCTACCATTTTCATAAATAACCCGGTGGTATTCAAGGAAATCATTTCAACTGTCTCACAGGTTCAGTCTTCTAGAATTTCAGCATTTCATTGACAGCTTCTGGGGGTGAAGCCCACGGAAAAACAGATAGCTTAGCGAGTCCCAATTCCATTTAGCTAGTGACATGAGCAGTAGAATATTTCTATAGTTTGGGAAAACTTGTTCCATCAAAATTTTTCAGGGATTTCTGCTGGATGTAATCAGAATCAGAGGAAACGAAGGGCAAATTGTCACCATGGGCCTCTGTACAACGTGTTCTTAGCTCAACTCCCCCTTTGCTGACAACCACTAATTCCCTTCTCAGCAACTGCACCAGTTTCCTGTTTGTTCCGCTGTCACTTACTGCACACTCGGTTGTGTGGGACAGCACAGACATGTTATGTCAGTTATGGAGGTCGAGACTGAAAGGGGCCTCGCTGGTCCAGGTGTGGACAGGGCTGAGTTCCTTCCGGGACCCTAAAGGAGAGTCTGCTTCCTGGTCTCTCTAGACTGCAGAGGCACCCTGTCC